TGCCCAGTATTTAATTCTATGGGTATACAATAATTTGTTCATCCATTTATGTGCCAATGGACATTTCGGTTGTTTTCATCATTTGCTTTCAATTATTTTAGGTACATAACTAGGAGTGGAATTTCAGGGTCATATGGTAGTTCTATATTTAATGTTTGAAGGAACCAGTGAGGTTTTTTTTCCCACAGTGGCGGAACCATTACATCCCTATCACAATGTATGAGAGTTCCTGGCTCTCCATATCCTCAGAAACACTTGTTCTTTTTTGGTTTTTGTTTTGTCTTTTTAAAATTATATTCATCCTAGTGGGTGTGTAGTGTGGTATCTTGTGGTGGTTTTGATTTGCATTTCCCTCATGACTGGTGATTTAAAAATCCTTCTGTGTGCCTTATATATCTTTTTTGGAGAAATGTCTATTCAAGCTCTTTACCCCTTTTTTTTAAACATAAGGTTGTTTGCCTTTCTTTTGCTGAGTTGTAAGAGTTATTTAGGTGTTCTGGATATTAAATCCTTCTCAGATATTTGATTTCCCAGCATTTTCTACCATTCTTTAGGTTGTCTTTTCACTTTCTTGGGAATGTCTTCTGATGTATGCAGTTTTAATTTTGATAAAATCCAGTATATCTATTTTTCTTTTGTTGCCTGTTCTTTTAAAGTTTCATTTCTAAGAGTCAATTGCTAAATCCAAGGTTGTGAAGATTTAACTCCTATGTTTTCTTCTAAGACTTTTATAGTTTAACCTGTTATATTTAAGTCATTGACCTATTTTGAGTTAATTTATACACCTATAAGATAGAAATCCAGCTTCATTATTTTACATATGACTACCCAGTTGCTTCAGCACCATTTGTTGAAGAGACTATATTTCTCCAATTCAGTTGTCCTGGTACCTTTGTTGCAAATCATTAGTTTACAGATGTATGGGCTTATTTCTGGAGGCTCAGTTCCATTCCATTGGTCCACATGGTTACCATTATGCCAGTCCCACATTGCTTTGATTACTGTACCTTTGTGATAAATTTTGAAATCAAGAAATAAGACTCCTCCAACTTTCTTCTTCTTTTTCATTATCATTTTGGATATTTGGAGCCAATTGAAATTCCATATGAATTTGAAGATCAGCTTTTCTATTTCTGTAAAAAAAAAATACAATAGGGCTTTGGATAGGGACTCCATTGAATCTGTAGATGACTTTTGGGAATATTGAGAACTGCTGAATGTGTATGTCCCTCCAAAGTTCATATGTTGAAATCTTATTGCAAATGTGATGGTATTCGGAGGTGGTGCTTTGGGGAGCTGATTAGGTCTGACAGCAGAGCCCTCATGAATGGAATTAGTGGATTTACAAAAGAGACTCCAGAGAGCATCCATATTATTATTCAGTGAAAGTGGTAACTGCCAAATGTGTGATTCAACAAATCTGTAACAGGAAAATGGGACCAGAGGTTAGAGGATGAAAGAACAAAATTCTTATCCTGGTTCATGCTCAATATTTTGGCCGAATAATACTCTGTGCTTTAGTTTTCTCATTTTTAAGAAAAGAGTCTGGAATAAATAGCTGAGATTCTTCCAGTACCAAAATTCCATTATCCTTTTATGTTTTCCAAAAGTTATCTACTAGGTTTAAATAAAAGCACTAATTTGGGTTCATGAGGACAGTGTAATATTTCTTTAGAATTTCAGTTTATTTTCACTAAAATGGCTGTTGGCTCCTGATACAGCTTTAGTGTACTCTTTCCACTTGCCGGATTTATTTCTTTTTAATTCATGCAGTTAAGTTTAATATGGTTGTTGACGTAATTGAGAGATTTTTCATTTCATATTTCTCTGCTACTGCCCATCACTTTCTGTTTCCCTATCATTTTATTTTGCTTAATTTAATGGTATTTAAATCCCCACAGCATTTGGCAGGCTTTCTAATTCTCTCTAAATTCTAGGAAAACAGAACAGGAAGCATCAATATTTCAGTAACCAGCAACAATCATCTCTTTGCTTTTTAACCAACTTTAATTTTCCATTACATAGTTCCTTGTATGTGTGTGTGTGTACATGTGTGAAGGTGGTTCTATTTTAGTGTAACGTGAATCAAGAAAGAATAATTACAAATCACATTCATATTTCACATTCAGCTCCTTTTCTAGCATTCTGAAATCATGTTATTCCCTGTATGTTCAGCAGAATTCACATGGTAGAGAGAAGGAATTTAAAAATAGATTAGATGTTCTTATCTCCTGGAGCAGTGTTTCCTGAAGTGGATCATGGTCCTACTGTACCAAATGGGGTGCTTTCTGAAAATGAAAATTCTAAATTAATAGACATGTAACTTGGGAAGTAGGAAGGTATATATTTTTTTAAAAATAGCTAGGTGTCCATTCACTGATGTATGGATAAGGAAAATGTGGTATATATGCACAGTGGAATATTACTCAACCATAAAAAGAATGAAATCTTGCCATTTGCAATGATATGGAAGGAGCTAGAAAGTATGATGCTAAGTGAAATAAATCAGTCACGGAAAGACAAATACCATATGATTTCACTCATATGTGGAATTTAAGAAATAAAACAAATGAGCAAAGGGGAAAGAAAAGATAGAGGCAAACCAAGAAACAGACTCTTAACTACAGAGAACAAACTGATAGTTACCAGAGAGGAGGTGGGGGGGCGGGGATTGCTGTAGATGAAACAGGTGATGGGGATTAAGGAGGGCACTTGTGGTGATGAGCACCGGGTGTTGTAGGGAAGTGTTGAATCACCGTATTGTACACCTGAAACTAATATTACACTGTATGTCATCTAACTGTAACTTGAATAAAAATTTTAAAAAATTATATTCACAGCCAAAAAATAAGTAAAAATAAAATGTTGATAGATTTAGCCAAAATCTGCCCCCAAAAAAGTATCTAGATGATTTTTATGTCCACTAAAACTTGGAAAACCACAAGTCAACACACGGTGTTTTCAAAATGTATTATAATGCCCTTTGTAGTAAGTGTAAATGACTTTAGGTTATTTCTGATTTGGCATTATTGAAGAATGTGTGTGTGTGTGTGTGTGTAACTTTAGTGAATACGGTAAATATCCTTTGTTAATGACAATTTCAAATTACTTACTTTCAAGGATGTTTTATACACTTCATAGTTAATTTAAATAAACATTACAAATGAAATTTATTTTCCAATCTACTGCACTAATGCTTGAAAATCTGGTTCTCTGTGCTGGAGGCAAATTGGTGGCTGTTTGGTGGCATGTCCTTGACAACATGGGGAAAGAGCAGGGAAATGTGAGAGGTCTCCTGTGCCAAGGTGAAGCAGGTGTGGGGGACAGTAGCATATGGAGAAATAATTAGCTGGCTGAGTCTGTATTATAAGAATAATTTTACCTTAAGCCAGTTAAAATTAATTAGCCTACCTTAAGCCAGATAGAATTGATTCAGTTTCTCCCAAAGAAACTGTTTATTTGGCTCAATTTGGGTGGATGTAGCTGGAATGTTTTTTAGCCATATTAATGAGCATTTCATAATTAGAACTATGTCCTTTGACTCTGTATACAAATATGAAAAAAGGAAAGAAAATTTGGATTTACAGAATTTTAAAGCCCAAATGTATCCTTTTCTCCAGATAATTATCTGAGTTTTAATGTTTTCTGGCCTTTATATTTGAATGAGTCACTGCTTATTAGCTTAACTTTTACCATATGAGGAATGCCTTTTTTCATTCTTTTATTAGATTTGTCTTATCCACTTTTTGCTTATTAAAGCATGTAATCCATTTTAAGATAAAATTCATTTCAGTTTTTATTTTTAAGGATTGTAAAGGAAATATCAGTTTTTTTAATCAAAACTAGATAAAAAGGTTTTCAGTTTTTCCTGTAATGAGGCAATATGAATTTTCAGATGGTGCTATTCATCCCATTACTTATCTCACATGTGTTTGTAATATATCATTTTCAAAAACAGAAGAATATTAAGACATAATTTTATAAAAGGTAAGGTATTTCATCTATTAAATGTAAAAAAATGCATTTAAAATCAGGTGACATCTACTCTTTCATTTGTTTATTGATTAATTCAACAAACATTTGCTGAACTCAAAGTTTAGTTGTAGGTATCCCAAAACAGATAAATAACAGAAAGGTATATAATACAAGAAATCTGATGACTTAGGACTTGGGGGGCAAACTCCATGTTGGATGTACAGGAATGACTGCTGGTGGACCACCACAGAATAGGCCTCACTAGAGAATGGGTTCCTCAGACAAGGTATCAGGAAGAGACAGAGTTCCCTGACACTATTTCATCCCTGTCCCCATGGTCACTCTACCTTAGCTACAAGATGGGGATAGAAGGTACCCTATGACTGGACTTCCAGCTCTGTAATTTCTTGTTGCCACTCTCCCCCCACTGAGATCAACTCCAAATTCAGATTGAGCTTGAGCTTGAGCACATTTCTTTTCCAGCATCTAAAGCATATCTGGAGGTCTAGCTGTACGAGATTCAAGAAAATGTAGGTGTTGAGCAATTCAAGAGGGAAAACTAGAAGAACTTTGGAATAGATGTTGAGATAGCCAATCTATATTTCAGACACACTCAGTATAGATAGGGTATATAAGGGTGGCAAGACACACAACAACTGTCCTCATAAAACCTACAGTCAAATCAAATCAACAAAAGTCTACAATGGCGACTGTGTTAAATGCTGAAAATTAGTACATTTATGTTATTGCTTCTTCCTGGGAAATGACAACTCAGAATGAGATCAGAAAGGAGAAAGGAAGTCATTACCTGGAGAGGCCTGGTATAAGAGCATTCCATACCAAGTGAGTAAGTGCAGGGGTTTATTTGCTTTAGGTGAAGTTTGGGGAAAACAAGTGAAATCTACTAATTTTCTGAGATCCTTCTATGTATGTGGGGTAGAGGAGAAAAATGGCTGTTGGGGAGAGATAACTTGGAAGAAAGCTGAGGTTCTGAGGCTCTAAAATCTGTGTCTACTACCTCGCAGGTCCCTGGCTTGGTGATGGAGCTCCAAGGACTGATCTGAAGCCTACTGGTGAGCGAAGGGAGGAGGTGTGCTAGCAAAAGTCCACGTGCTGTGGAAAGGGTGGGGAAGGCACAAAAAAAGAAGTCATGGGATCTCCTAAATTGACTTTTAAGTACTCCCCTCAAAGGATCTGGTGGCTGTACTTAGTTTGTGTAGCTAAAGGAATTATCATGTTATGACCTTTACTAGTTGCTTTATCCTTAGATCCTGTTGTTCATCTCTGTCCAAATTTTTTGCACTGAAATTAAAGTACCTTTCTATGTTGTTTTAGGGACTTTATCCCTCAATTCAGATTATTCTTGGTGTACGCTAATGATATAGCTTAGTTTCTTTAATGATTAAGCCTGTACCAAATTGTTATTTTGGAAGTTTTCTGTTAGCATCTGCAGCAAAATACTTGTTGATTACTTATTTATCTAAGAATGGCTACATTTTGCTCTGTACCCTTATCTCTTTTTATTCCAAACATTGTACACTCTAATCAGTGTTCACCTCACCATAGACATAGAGTTATTTTTATTGGGATACAATCTGAAAATAAATCTCATCTTCAAGTAGAATATGGACAGCATGACATTTATTATGTTAGAAGATATCCCACCATTTTATTTGCCATATGCATACTATAGAATTCATATATATAATATATTACATCTATACTATATATAAAACATCCCCCCCATTACACACACAGACATGCAGAGTTACATATACATATACATAAGAAAAGTATAACAATGTGGTAGGCCAAATATTGATAAATCCAAGATGATAAAGACAATTAATTAGGAAGTTCCTAAGGTTTTGTATTAGGATAATGATCTGGTCATCTGAGATCAGAATATATAAAATCTACACTTAAATATTTATTTTATGAAGGCAAAACATAAAAATAGATGTGTTTGGAGATTCAGCATCCATTTTATCTTATTAGTGTGTGGCTGTTGTTTGGGGAACCCTAACATCTATTCACCTGGCTTCTACTTAACATGCATTGTTTTTCCTCTATGATCAACTCCACCCCCAAATTTCAGGCCACATCCTTTGGTTAAGGTTAATACCACCTCTGCCAGGTTGGGTAGATCATTCATGTTTATCTAACCAAAACATTTAAGTTTTCTGGACACACATGCTATGGACAGGTAATCACATCAGAGACAATTAAATGCAGTGATGCTTAGACTTCTTGAAGAGACACACTTTCTTGCTGTTAAAATTAAACCTAAGGAAATAAAGATTTAGAGCTGTAAAAAGCATCATACTTTCACTGGGAGCTGCATGAGAGAGTTGAGGCATGGAGAGAGGGGCCTGACCAGGAGACATAATGAGCCTCTCTGGCTTAAGCCATAGCCTGGATTAAGGTACCCCTCAGAATTGTAAATAATGCTGCTATAAATATAGGGGTGCATGTATCCCTTTGAATTAGTGGGTTTATATTCTTTGGGTAAATACCCAGTAGTGAGATTACTGGATTGTATGGTAGTTCTATTTTTAACCTTTTGAGGGACCTCCATACTGTTTTCCACAGTGGCCACACCAGTTTGCATTCCCACCAACAGTGCAGGAGGGTTCCTTTTTCTCCACATCCTCCCCAACACCTGTTGTTTCTTGTGGTTTTGATTTTAGCCATTCTTACAGGTATGAGGCGATGTCTCATTGTGGTTTTGATTATTTACAATAGCCATATTATGGAAGGAGCCCAAAGGTCCATCAATTGATTGCATATATACACACACATAAGCCAAGAAACAGACTCTTAACTATAGAGAACGAACTGATGGTTACCAGAGGGGTGGTGGATGGGGGGATGGGTGAAATAGGTGATGGGGATTAAGGAGTGCACTTGTATTGAGCACTGAGTGTTGTATGGAATTTGTTGAATCACTATATTGTACACCTGAAACAAATATAACACTGTATGTTAACTATACTGGCATTAAAATAAAAACTTTATAATAAAAAAAAGATACCCCTGGGATTTTCAGTTTTTTGTGTCAATGAATTTTCTCCTCTATTAAAGAAAATTTGAATTGTTTCCAATAAATTCCAATAAGTAAAAATGTGTTTTCCAATAAATCAAAACAGTTGCAATAATAATAGCAAATATATTCTTTATAAAAGGCAATTTTCAAGGGAAAATATAGTTTAAATAAAAAATTTCTTTGTTTCAAGAAAAAACAGGGACTCAATCTCTGAGTTTGTTAATCATTATTAGGATAGGCACGTGGTATTTAGCTTTTAGCTAGCAAGAATCTATTATATATAAACATAAAAGGGGAATGGCATGAACGTATCTACATACACAGGTGTGGTGAACAGCACATGTGGAATATGGATAGGTGTTTTTTTTCACATCCATGTTGGAGAAAACTATTCCCTAATGTATTTTGTAGAGTTATCTCCTATTTGAAGAGTTATATTCCCTGATATATTTGTATTACTTATAATGTCATAATTTTAAATAATTTCCCCAACTACTAGTTATCAACACTTAATATAAAGTGCTAATGAAACTAGGTTATTCAGTATATATATATATATATGAATATTTGGAAGGGATATACACTAGTAGAAGATTGATTGAAAAGTTTATTATATTGGCCACAGTCTTGTTAGCAGAAGTGCTAGTTCCTCTTATGGCAATACCTAAGAGAAATAAATATAGCTTTGTCATCTGTTTTTACCAATACTAAGCTGAAAAACATTGCTACCAGGTGTATTTCAGTAATTATTAAAAATTTGGAAATTCAGAAGCAGCATTGTGGTGTCTAGAAAAAGTATTCACCTTATTATAGTAGTGAGTATCTGGGATTTGTGGAGAGTCAACATACGGAACTGTGTTCCCCTCAAAATTATTTTATTCTTCTAGAGACACACATTATGAGGTCAAACTCTGCTGCAAATTTAGTGCCAAAGGAAACTTCCTATTTAAGCCCTTGTTATGATTCCCTTAGTATTTGTGGATGTGAGGTGAGATCATTATACAGTTTATCCAATAAAAATGGTGTTGAGGTAAGTGTAGTTTATTCAGATCTATGGTTCCAAGATGTGTGAGAGATTGTAACTTCAGTGTTTGCTGTGGTGAACTTTGTATATATTCTTGCCTTCTTGTTTTATAACAGGTCTTAATTACCAAGATGCTATGGGTATTTCAGAAGTTTAGTTGAATTTTTTAAAAAAGATTTTATTTATTTGAGAGAGAGATAGAGAGCATGAGCTGGGGGGAGCAGCAGAGGGAGAGGGAGAAGCAGGCTCCCCTCTGAGCAGGGAGCCCGACGTGGGGCTCGATCCCAGGACCCCGAGATCAAGACTGAGTTGAAGACAGACGCTCAGCTGACTGAGCCACCCAGGCGTCCCAAAAGTTTAGTTGAATTTTGGCAAGAATCTGAAAGATGCTATATCCTGTTTAACATTATTAAATATAAAAAAAGCCACCAGTTCCTCTTGTAGGTACTATGGAGAGTAAATCAAACGAAACCTGTCCTCATGGATATTACATTTTAGTGAGTAATAGAGATAATAATATGCAATATATAAGTATGTATTCTTTATGAGGAAGAACGTCAATTTCATGGAGTAAGCAATAATAAGATTCCAAAGGAGACAACTAGAGCTCTCATAACAAATCATCACAGAGCTGTTCCTGAAACATCAGAAGTTTATTCTCTCACAGTTATGTAGGCTAGAAAATCAAAATGAAGTTACCAACAGCACCTCTCTCCCTCCAAAGGGATCCTGGGGAGAATCCTTGCCCGCCTCATCTAGTTTGTGGTGACTCCTATTATTCTTTGACTTGTGGCCCCCAATCTCTGCCTCCATCTTTGCCTGACATTCTTCCCCATGTTTCTGTTTCTCAAATAGTCCTGACTTTTTCTTATAAGAGCATTAGTCATTGCATTTAGAACACATCTTAAATCCAGGATGATCTCATCTTGAAATCCTTAATTACATCTCTAAAGACTATTTCCAAGTAAGGTCACATTTATAGTTCCTGGAGTTACGACTTAGACGTATCTTTTTAGGGACACAATTCAATACACTGAAATGATTAATAAACAGATCCATTTGCCAGTACTCCACATGTACTGCAAGTAGACAACAAAATTCAGTGGATCAGAGCAAGAGTGTTACAACACAGCAAAAGGCAGAAGTACCAGCATGGTTGGGCTAGTTCCCTTGTCTCCAAGTCCCACTGAGTGATGTATGGACCAGAGGTGGCTCCTCATGCTCTCAGCAGCATGAGGGCTGAGGCAGATGCCCTTTCCTAGAGATTGAATAGCAGTAAAGGAGTCATGTTGTAGTCACCTTGACCAACTTAGCTACCTACGTGACTAGCTACTTCAGAGTGCATTCCACAATGATGTGCAGGGATGTTCAGGGTCACAGTCAACCGCCTCTTTCAACAATTGACCCCTCGGTCCTATATATTCTTGGCCAAGTTTACATTTTTATAACTGTATGCTAATGATAGAATAATGGCCCCAAAGATGTCCACACTCTACCCCTGGAATTTCAGAATGTATTGTTTTATATGGCAAAATAAAATTTGCAGGTGGAATTAAGACTGCTAATTAGCTAACATTAAATAGGGAGATTATCTTGGAATATCTCCATGGGGCCTATGTAATCACAGGGGTCCTTAAATGTGAAAAAGTAAGGCAAGAGAGTTCATCAGAGAGATGGAGAACATGAGGGACTTGACCCACTATTGCCATCTTTGAAGATGGAGGAAGGGGGCCATAAGCCGAGGATTTACAGGAGAGCAGGCTGAGGATTGCAATCAGTGTCTAGAACCTGAGAAAGTCTCTTCAGTGACAACCAACAAGGGAGCAGGGAGCTCCATCCCACAACCTCAAGGAACTAACTTCTCCCAACACTCTCTGATTAAAGAAACAATTTTTTCCCCTAGGACGTAGAAAAAAACAATGCAGCTCTGTCAACACCTTGGCTTTAGCCAAGTGAGACCCATGTCAGATTTCTGACCTCCAGAATTCTAAGATAATATGTATGTTGTATAACCAGTGAATTTGTTGTAATTTCTTGCACAACAATAATATGTATGTTGTATAACCAGTGAATTTGTTGTAATTTCTTGCACAACAACCACCACAATGCTACTGCTCTGCCACCTGGATTTGATACTCTAATAAAGGTTGAGACCAATTGCATTCAGTTTTCGCACAACACTTGATTAGTGCTGTTATCAATGGAATTCCAATCAGCAGGATGAGGCCAACCAGCACCGCTGACTTCAGCATGCACCTCAGATCTCTGCCTACTGAATAAGCCCCAGAGGGGAGTGGTGGGCCTTATTTCAGATAACTGTTTAACCTTCTTTTCTCATGGCATGTTACACCCCAATAGTAGGATTAATCCAGACGTAGTGAGAAGTGTTGGCAACCCTACGTCTCCTTCTTGTCCAGCTAGGATGTAGCTTATCAGTTTTTCATTATAACCCATACAAGGGTTACTGATCGAGGGTTTGTGCTATCTCACTGTGGACATGGGCTACTCCAGTTTGGGATTTGCTGTTGAACTTGCTTTGGATTAGTATTACATTGGTTTGGTTAAGCCACAAGAACATTGTCACAAAATATTTGCAGCTTCGATAACCATGCATAGCAAAACTCAAAATCACTTGGAAGCTAGGAGAAGCATTTGGATTTGCATCAGTCCAATGAAAAAAGTTGTCCCACTCTGTGTATGTGTGAGTGCATGAGGGTGGTCTGCATTTATGAGCAGTCGTTGGAGGCATAAAGCCTAGTCCACCTGGCTATACTCATATGGGCTTTTCTGTTCCCTGGAGGGCCTGAATGGGGAAGACAAACTCTATGGTGAGTCAGATGGCTAGCTGCAGCTCCTGCTTGACATAGGTGGACCAGGTGATTGTTTTACCAGGCTGCAGTGATGAATTTTAAAATAATATACAGAAATAATATACAGGAAACAGCTTCTACTAATTGAGTGCTAATTGAAGATGGACCATGCCTTGTGTTGGGTATAGCACAAATATGGTATCGTATAAAATCCTCTGAGAGTGGGATTTTTTAATTATTTATTTATTTTGGAGAGAGAGGGAGAGAGTGTGAGTAGGGGAGGGGCAGAGAGAGAGGGGGAGAGAATCTCAAGCAGACTCTGCACTGAGCGTGGAGCCCAATGCAGGGCTTGATTTCATGACCCTGAGATCATGACCAGAGCAGAAACCAAGAGTCAGGCCCTTAACAGACTGAGCCACCCAGGCCCCCCCAGCTGATAGTATGTTATCATTCCCATCGTACAGCTGCGAAATTTGAAATCCTGTGACGTTAAGTAACACAGCCTGTAAGTAAAGGAGCCTGTATTCAAACCCAGGTTTGAAGTGAAAGAAAAGCAGTGAAGAAAAAAGTTATTGGAATCATGTTGCTTCCCATGAATCAGAAATTA